CTCCGGAGACATCAGACAAACTTTGGCTCCTTCCTGCCTGGAGAAATGTGTGGGTCTACGTATGTGTGCTGGATGAGTGTATGGGGGGAGAAGTATGGGCCCCAGCTCCACAAGTCACCTCCTTCATGTCACTCCTCTGCCCCCAACTCCCCATGTAGCCTCCTTGCTCCCTGGTAAAGAGCAAGCCCCTAGTCAAGGCTCTTCAGCGTCTGACCCCCGTTTCCTTTATGACACCCTAGCCATCCTTTGGCCACGCTAAACACCTTATTACCCCCTAACTGTTCCCTGTGCTTTCACAACAGGGCGGGTCACTCTGCTCCCTCCACTCCTTCTGCCCAGGACAGCCTTCCCATCCACCTCCTAGAACAATCCTGCTCACCAGCGCAACTGTCTCCTTCTGGGACCCTCATGCCCAAAGGCAGCATTGTATGCGCTAAAAGGACATACTCACAAGGCGGACTGCCTGGTTCAAGTCCCAGCGCCACCACTTACTAGCTCTGGGGGCCTCAGTTTTCTCACATGTAAAATGGGCATGTTCTGATGATTAAACAAGTTAACATTTATTAGGATGTAACCTGATGTCACTAGTGAAACTCACAGAAGGTTCTGCTAAAGGGTCTCAGGCACAGAGATCAGCCTGCCTGCGCAGCCATATGGGGGCAGGATGGCCTGGACGAGAGGAGGGTGGAGGAGACCCTGGCATGGTGCTAGGGAGCAATCAAGCAGTGAGGAAGTGCGAACCCGGGCCGGGATTAGAGCCCAGGGTGACAGATGGGGCGCTGGGGCCCAGTGAAGAGCTCACAGGCTCAGATGATAGTCCTGACTGACTGGTCATGAGACCCACGGCCTTTTACATGAGTCCCGATATGGCCGGCAAAGCCTACGAGCTTAGCACTCCAGCTCTTAGAGAAAACATGTGCAGATTTGTGGGTCCCTCCCCAGAGATCCTGACTTATTAGGAGGGATGTGTCCTGGGTGGTTCTCATCACCTGGGAATTTAGGAACCACCGCGGCAGCGCTTTGTCTGTGTCTGTGTTACAGCACTTAGCACAGGGCTTCGGAGGTCTGCCCGTGCGCATCTTCCTAACAGACTGAGCTCCTAGGGAGCAGGGCCTGTCTCATTGGCTCCATCACCCCGGCTCCTAAAGTGAGTCAGAGCCCACTGCGTGCGGGCCGCTGAGACACAGCATGGCAGCTGTGCCGGGCGCCCACCTCTGCACTTTCACGTTGTTTTCCATGATCGTAGCCCCCTCCTCTGAAGCCAGAAAGAGGTAACCAGAGGGGTTGAACTGGAGGTCCAGGGGAGGGTCATCGACCACGGCCAGGTACTCCTGTGTGCAAAGAAAAGCTCCTCCAAGAAGCTGACTTCAAGAAGGGAGGGAGAGCTTTCCTGGCTTTCTCACCACAGCCCCCGGGCTCGGTACCCCGACCCAGAGGGAAGCCCTCTCCGGGCACCGCCACTGGGAAGAAAACCGGGGGTTCCAACTCCTAGCTGCCCATATGCTCGCCCAGCCAGCTGGGCTGCTCCCCTCTCTGGGCTAAAGGAGGGGTCACCACCCCACCCCCAAATCTCACAGCACGTACATTGATGTTACGGAGAAATTCGACTGAAAAGAGGGAGAGCTGGATGTTCTCAGGCAACGAGAACTGCTGACGAATCCCACCCACAGAAAGCACGGTGGAGGCCTGGGAATACTGTGGAAAGACAAGAGAAGGCGATGTGGGCCCTGTTCCATGTGAGCAGAATACCGTACTGGAGGGTGAGAGTCACATACCCAAAGTTAATTTTTTTTTGGCCACGCTGCTGTTTGCGGGAGCTTAGTTCCCTGACCAGGGATGGAACCTGGGCCACCTGCAGTGTAAGTGTGGAGTCTTAACCACTGGACTGCCAGGGAAGTCCCACGTGCCCAAAGTTAAAGGGGAGTCCTACTTGCAAGTTTATAATCTAAACTTGCAGAAACCCATGTGCAAGTCAACCAGCAGCCCAACAAGGACAATAGCTATTAAAATCCTTATTAGAAGATACACAGAGCAGAGAGGCTCAGTCAACTAAAAAGGGCTGGGCGCCGTCGTACAAAATGGTAATGGCCTGGAAGTACAAGGCAGGAGACTGAAGTGGAAAACAGAGGGATGTGGCCAAAGGAGCAAGATTCGTGACTAGATGGCAGTGCTAAACAGGAACAGTTAAAGTGCAAAAACCTCAGAAGTAATGTAACCTACAAGGGCGGCGTGACAGCTGTTTGTGTTAACCACAGCTTGAATGCAGGCCAGACCTCTGAGATCTCAAGACATACAACGTTGTGAAATTTGCTTCCAAAAGCAAAAACCTTACTGTCAAGGTCTCTGGTTTGAGGGAGGAAGAACATGGGGCTATTTCTCAACAAGGGCCAAAGCACAGGCCCTGCCCTTTGGCCCTGCAAACACTGAGGTCTTTCCTCTTCTCTCCTCCCCTCGAGTCCTTAAGAAAACACGAGTCTGCACCCCACTCCTGACTCTGCCCCACCCCAGACCTCACCGTGTGGTCCCGCTCCACCACCAGCACCCGAATGGCACCTTGCCGCTTCTCCAACCTCTTCAGCCAATAGGCTACGGACAGGCCAAGCACCCCACCGCCAACAATCACCACATCGGAGTGTTCAGGGGGCAGGTGGCTGGTGTCACATAGTGGACTCCAGGCCCCTCCAGGAAGGATGGACTGGATCGTCTTCTTAATCTCTGACACCTTTCCATGCCAGTCTGTGGGATACAGTTATGGTCAAAGAGGGCCATACATCTCCTTTCCAGGAGGTGGAGGGGTGTGTGTGTTAGAGGATGGGCACAGGAAAAGGTGGGCTAAACTGAACACCGAGTTTTCAGTCCTCACTGCCATTCCTTCTCACGAGGTCAGCTCGCACCCAGCAGCACTCCACAGCTTGGCTTCATGTTCTCTACACCAGAGTCTCGCTTCCTTTGAGTGCATTATAACCAGCACTGCAAGATTCAACTTCCTAAAACCGACACTCTCTATTCTCTCCATTGGCTAGGGGACTTACACGTATTTCTCTCCTGTGCAGACCTGTCTCTCCCCTGAGCCTAGGCTCCTGGACCAAGAGATCCTGGCACACCTGAAGCACGGACCTCTGAGTGGCACCTTATCCTGGATATCCACCACCAACAGCAAACCTACATTCATGTTGTCTGTTATCAAGTCCTGACGACTTTGCCTCTTAAATATCTCCCCAATCTGTCTCCTTTTTTCCCCATCTCTACCACCACTGCCCTAGACCAAACCACGATGTCTCTCCCACCTAAACTGTTAAAAGCTCCTGTTTCCACTCATTCCCCTCTTGTCTAACCCCCAACTTCTTTTCTATATCACGGCTAGAATGATCTTCTCTAAACACTAATTTAATCACACACTCTCTTGCTTAAAAGCCTCCAGTTGGTTTCCATTACCCTAAGGATAAAAGTCCAAAATCTTTCACGTGGCCTGTGAGACACTGCATGATCTGGTTCCTGTTTGCCCTGTCCTCCCTGAGCCCTCCAGCCTCAGCCCATTCATTCCCGCCACAGGGGATCCACACAGGGGTTCTCCCTGCTTTGAAACTTTGTGCCCACTTCTTTGCCCAGTTAACTCCTTGCTTCCTTTAGATCTCAGCTCAGTTATCATTTTCTCAGGGATGCCTTCTTTCCTGACCCCCTAGACTATGCCAGGTTCTCCTGTCATGCTATCTCATAGCTCTGGGAACCG